TCCTGAAGGTCTCGCATAAGCACCACCGCATTTCCGGCTGAAGAGAAGCTCAGGTAGTTGCCAAAATATAGGTAATAAAACCCAATGCCATCTCCATGCTATCCTTTCTCCTATTTCCTTCTCAAAGCACAAACAGTAAACAAATTTTATGGCTACCACTCCCAGAAAGATGGAAACTGCCATGAGCAAGGGTTTAAAGTTCCAATGCCAAACACGCTGCATCGTGGCAGAGCATTCCTGACAAAATTCTTCACTTTTGAAAATTTAAGGCACCAAATTGAGCAAAAGTGAGAGGTTTCCATGCATCTTGGCATCTTCAGAGCTGGTATAGGCAACCTGTAGAGCTCAATTCATGAAGGCAACAAGCTTGTTCATGAAGAACAAGCAAACTGATTTACTCAGCTGCCCCTGCAAAAGAGCATGCACAGCCACAGGAGAGCTTCGGTTTAAGCCTACAAGTTAATCGAACAGCAGATTCAATCAGGAAATCCAAAACAGGAAGATAGACACTAATATACAGTACTGTAAGGCACTCCTACTGGGAAGGGAAAATTGGAAGGCAAATTACCAAGGAGAGAACGATCAGACTCGACTGGTTCAAAAGCGACACAATGAGCTATGAAGCTCGAAGTCTAAGCTGTAGGCTCAGCACTGTGAGCAAAGACAGGGACAGAGACAGTAAGAGAGAGAGAGGGGCCTGGCTTGCAGGTGAGTAGCAGAAAAAATAGAAAAGATGATGATGATTATTCAATTACATTTCTTTTATACAGATCAACAGTCTGCTGCAATCCAGGCTGTGACCTTGGGAAGCCTGGGAAACTTAGCGGCTTCTGTTGCTACAGGAAAAAAGCACAATACTACTGTACAGCTTCCTCATTTCATTGTAAATGGACATCCTTTGCTTTTTTTTTTTTTTTAAAAAAAGACTTTCAGGACATTATCATCAACCCATTATAATACACACAGTATCCTGCTATTAAGAGAAGCCTTGACAAGATGAGCCCTAGAGGTACCCTGAAGATTCACTCCTGACAGGGCCATCAGAGCCTGTGGAGTATTGTAAAAGCCTCAAGTTCCTCACCAGAAAGCAACTTCTCTCACTTATCTAGGAAACCCTCACAACTGCCAATTCCTATCATCCCACCAGTGAGCTCATATTGGTATGTGCTAGCCACGATACTGTGTCACATTACAAAACCATCATTTTTCACCACCCAAGACAGACAATGAAAAACCACAGAAAGATTTCTACATAAAAGATCCAAATTTATCTTTTTATAGGTGGATAATACAGAAAAAGCTGTGGTTTGCATCCCCTAGGTAGGTCCTTCTCCCCATTAAAGGAAAGCTAGAGGGTCAGGGTGAATAGGAAAAGCGACTTGAATATGGATCTCTACAGTGTCCTAGATTACAATAATCTCAGACTAAGTAAACTAAGATGACAAGTTTCTAAGTAGTTGAAGAGGGTCAGGCTAGAGTCCATTGCAGTGAAGCACCCTATTTCTACACTGATTACAAGTTCTGTACAAGCAAAAGCAGTAACTGGATGTACAGATCAATTCTTCCTCCATCATCTACGGAAGTACCTCTCTGTAAAGGAAACAAACAGCATGTTTTATTCTTGATTCACAATGAAATGCTATTGTTCAAATTTGTCATGCATGGGCAGGGCGAGACTAGAAGTACTGATACGTAATTTCACACCTCTCTGTGTGTAGGGAGAGCTGTGGAACCCGGAAAGACCCCAGGTACTGTTCCAGCTGATGCCCACCCCGAAGTCTGCAGAGCAGGGCCACGTGCTTGCTGTCAGCTGCAGAAGGGGAGAAGAGCAGCAGTTGGGACCAGCACGCAGCATTGTTAGTACAGCAGAGACAACCACGCAAGGGGACAGCCTTGTCTGAAACCCACACCACTTACAGAACGCCAGTCTCCTGCTGGCAGATGGCTCATGCAGGAAAACTGTCCTTTTAGAGCTGGGTCTTTTGAGAGCTAGCAATGTGAGCAGTAGTTTCGAGTTACTCTTTTGCCTTGCAGTCCTGAAAAATGAACAGGGCTTGTTCCAACTGCATCGGCACCTTCTGAGGGCAGGGTCAAACCTTTCACTAAGCTTACGAAAGACTATCTTACCCAGTCATATGGAATAACTTCTTTTGGATAGGAGCTAGGCATCCCTGAGAGGAAAGCATCTTCTACATTACAGTCTGCTCCCTCAGCTACCATGAGAAGCTATACTACTTTCTCAAGGTAGAAATGAACGTGTATCCATTTTAGAACTGGCTTGTTTACAACAACATTGGATTTTAAAGAAACGTATCTGATCTGTATTGTACAGTATCCTTTTACCCGACGCTTTGGGCGCTGCCAGCATATTGCAACAACACGCTTTTGCCCTTTGCCGTTAGTAATGGCAGTGGTTCCGGGCCCGTTGACTAATGCCAGCAGTTTCGCCGACGTCATAGTCTTCTGTGAATCTCAGTTAGCAAAGAAACTGTTCTGTAATACCTGTACAAGCCCAGAGTAACTCCAATGCTGTCTGCATTGTTATTCTAGAATTCAACTAGAATAACTATCCACCCACGTGACTGGCACTTTGGAGATCAGGATGTTTGTCAAAGAAACTAATAGCTCGCAGTGTCTGAACCTTGATTCCCTGACACCACAGCGTTTCTGACAGTGCACACAAGCAGCCTTCTCTAAACAGAGCTGGACAGGAACCAGCACTGTGAGGTATCTTAAATACCAGAGCATGATGATATGAAAAACATCACCTTTTTTTCTTTAATGACCCACCATTATGTCTAGAGCTAATTCAAAATAGTACCTGCCAAATTCTGACAGTTTCAGAGCTACTGGCTTTGCCACAGGACTAGTTCTGGTGACACATGCTGAAAAATATGGGAGCGTACTGTTTATTCAGCCAGTACCACTGAGGTTCCTGTTTGCGTGACTAATTCCACAATACTTCCCCAGTGTTTGCATTTGTGAACATGCAGGGAATTCTTCACGTGGGAATGGACTTGCAAGGAACACTGTAAGGATGATAGCCAAAAGCAACTCATTTCACAGGAGGAACAGTGAGCTGAGACAGAGACATCCCTGTGTAGGGGAAGTATTAATTTTAGTGACAAAGGTGCATGATTCACCAGGTTTACTAAATATGGGAATCCCTACACTACTTTGCCAAGAACATGGAAAAACCCTCACTTCCTTCCAAAGCATCCCACTGCGAGGAGGACTTCTGGAAGAGAAAGGCACTGGTTGTCTACTGTATACAGATATAAACATGCTTCTATATGTGTAGTAGTCACACTCAGATTGCAGAAAGCTCAGATTCAGCTACTTCCTTTGACTGGAGGGAGGAAAAGGTAACCACTTATACTCCAGCACAAGGTAATTCCTTGTAGTGTTTTACCTTTTAATGTAAGCATGATGTACCCTGTTCTTTTATTTAAAATACTTCAGCAATTAGTGAAGTGCTTCAATGCTCAAGACTGCTTTCTGCCTTGTATACAAGAGCCTGCAGATTATATAGGAAGCCAAGATCGGTATTCTGCATTTTCACAATCCTGTGTGAGAAAAGAGGAAAAATACACATGCATGTGACTGGCTTTTTTCTCCTGAAAACGTATTTGCTTTCTGTATATAAATGTATGTGTATATATATGTGAATGCTTCTGTATGTACGAAACACACACATTACTGCTGGGTCTGGAGAAAGAGTAAGAATGTGGATTGGAGGGAGGAGGATTTCTAAGTGCTCACTGGAGGGGAAGCCGCAATGAATTAAACATACTGCCAGTGATGACACACACCTCCCCAGTTAAATCCACCACGTACCCCCTTTCACAATCTATGTAGTTTACCGTGTTTAATACTTCCCTGTGTTCCAGGTGTGTGGTGCAGATCCATACCTCAAGGAACTTCGCCCTCCACCACGGAAGTCACTACGGAAGTATAAAATCCCTTTGAGCTCACAGAGAAAGCGGAACACAAACTGCATACGAGCACAGCAAGCTAGTGTTTCACAATTTCAGAGGTATTTTTTAACTAATGTGGGCAGGACTACTTTCCTGACTATCAGTCTAACAGGTTCAGCTTAGAGAAACACTTAAAGTAAACATGAAATAAAAACAAAATCAAGGTAGACACTTAAATGTCTTAAAACATGAGACTAGTGGGACGTCAGAACCAACATCATGTTACTGGAGATGAAAACATGGCCTCACATAGATCAAGAATAACCAGGGTAAAACCTGACTGATATAGCCAGCCTGAACAAAAACAGGAGCAAGTCCCCTCCTTATCTGCATATGGAATAGTTCACTGGGGTGTTTATGAATATATAAACATAGCTGAAGGAATTATTCTGCGTCTTATGTTTGCAAGCACGATGAGTAAGTTTTGATGGGAGATACTTGGCTTTCCTCGGGGAGGAGTGACATGTAAACGCACTGATCCTTTAAAAATAGCTCTCTGGAAACATGAGGAAATGGAACCACCTGTCCAAATCAGAAGGAGCAGGTGGGTTTAAAATCATTCCTACCCCACTGGGTTCTGTGAAACACCTCACCAGAATCTCTGACAAGGCTACTAATAAATAAATAATGCACATAAATAAGTAGGTGAATTCATCAATTCTACATGAACAACATAAAAAATAATGTGGTCATGGCAGTAAATATTTTCTGCCTCGAGGAAAAGTCTTCTGCAGAGGTGGAAAAGAAAAGGTTGGGCGCTTAATTAGCTGGATCTAAAGCATTTCAATTTAACCACATTTTGTATAAGAGCTAGCGGCTGAACTTCAATGGAAAATGCAGTTTAGCCATTGGTATTTCAAAGCCAACAAGGCTTTGCAGCCACTTTGGCAGCTACTATTCACAGATGAAGAAGGTCAGATATTTTTTTGCGAAAAGCCTTCCGCCTGGCTAAGCTGAGATGTTGGCTTGAGCTGGCAGCTGGGAAAGGGATTTCTCTTCAGGCTGGCCACTGCCTTGAGGAACTCATGTGTTCTGATATGACAACTCAAACATGTTGCAAGACTCTTCGAAGTTTTCATCCATATTTAGTCGCCTCCAGAAGGATTTCTGCTTCTTCTGCAATTCTTTACGCACACACCTGGGGCATGGTACAGCCTTCACTTTGCATTCAGAGTGGAAGACAGCACCACAGCTTTCACACCTGCAAACACAAATTAGTGTCAAAATTGAATGACAAAATGGGACCGGAGCATGCAATGGACTTCACAGGGATTGTGGGCAGTAGACATTCTTAGAGTTCCGGTAGCTCAAAGCACGCTATGTTTCAAAAGAGAGGAGCTGTAAAAGATACTGGCTGGCCCACACCTCTGCTGGTGTAAAGCTACTCAGGACCACTACAGTAAGTTGACTTGCATCCATTTGCAGTTGCTGAGAATCTGTCCTAGCACTTCTGCTTGCCAGAGAGACATTTTTAAAAGGGTTAATACTTATCTTCTTATCAACTAGCATTCAGGTTTATCACAGAATAGACATCAATTTTGTTTCATGAGAGACAAGTTTGCTGCTCTGGCTTGTAAATTAAGAGTAACAGTATTCATTTCCATTAAGATATATTTCAGCATTTGCAACAGTCAAGATATGACATGCTCCTCATTGAAGTTCCAGTGGTCAGCTGTTCTGGAAAGAATAAAGTACAGTCCACTTCAACAGCAGAAGAATTCATCACTCCACAAAGTAAAACGTCAAACAGAGGTAGGTGATACTTTCTGCTCTGTGTCCTGTGGAAGACTGGACTAGATCAACACAATTATCACTTCTGGCATTCAAAGCTGTGCTATTCTGTTCTCAGATGTGATATTATGACTTCAAGCAAATGTCTGCTCAAACAAGACGACTGGATTACTTTTGGGGCACTCTGAGGCAATGGATGTAATGTTCACAGCAGATCAAGCCCCAGTTCCAGATGGCTATGGAGCAATGAAAGATCTGGTGATCGTGCAGTGGGCTACAGCTAAACTGTTGGACACTGTCAGCCTTTCAATGCAAGTAACTATGTGTAGTGATGAGGAAGTCACTACAGCTTTGTAACCTAATGAAAAAAATAAAAAGGATGACAGTGTTAGAGGTACAAAGTCTTAGATTCCAGTTGGATAATCAAATAATGAAAGCAATTTTGAAATACAGATAAGGGCACTGGTCACCATGGTGATTCTGTGGGAAGTCTTGAAATGCCTCGCACTTTTCCTTTTTCACAGCTATTGTAGTCAAATGACCATATGAGATCCAAGTAGCCATTGTTATATCTTTAGTGGGGTTTTTTGTTTGTTTACCTTGAGCTTTTTTTGTTGTGTTGCGCTTTTTTTTTTCCCCTTAGAAATAAGGTCCTTGTCTTCAAGACTGTGAAGAAAAACTGAAAACATGAAGAAAAAAACAGGCTGCATTTGCATCTCACCTGTAACTTTTAAAGATCCATTCCTGATATGGTTGTGTTAAGTTTTATTCATGGGTCCAAACATGGTCTAAATTTTAGTAACTGCAGAGCTTTGAGAAGGGTATGCAGAGGTTTAGAGAGGCACATTTCTAGCTAGCATAAACTGATAAAACTCAAACAACAAGTAAGAAAAGGAAAGTTAAAGAGGCTAAGTATAATGTTGTATATCTACTAACTACTATGCTCTCTTGCAGTAAAACTTGACTGTCATATTTCTAAGCCTACCTAGTGAGTCTAAATCTGGTTTTGAATCAAGAAACTGTCTCACAGAGAGATTTATAATTTCTGTGCTCAGAGAATGTGTGTTATAACCTGATCCAGTGAAGCACATAGACACATGCTTAGGACTCATATTCCAGTGATTTCCTTGGGATTACTGATCTGCCTACAATTAAGCATGTGCTTACATGCTTTGCTGGATTGGGATCTCCATGAACAGACACACTAATGGATGAGGGAGACACAGAGAGGACAGCAGTGTCTTTAAAACTTTACATCATTCTGAACTGACACTAATGGTGATTTTATCAAGCTAATTCTCCCTTGTTAGTCAGCAATTTACAGTGCCCTGGAAATTGCTAGAGGGTAATGATTGATGAGGAGTGTAATTTTGTGCTCCTGCGTTGCCACTCCCTACACTCGCTCAATCTTTCTCCATAGTATGCATGGAGGTGGCAAAACTTATCAGAAATTGCTGCTGAAATGCATGGAGCAGGATGAGAGAGGAGCCAGCACACCTGTTCTCCCCAGTGAAAGGCCATCACCAGGGAAAACAAAGATTGATGGTGTTTAAATTAATAAGAATTCATTTTTCAGAAATAAGCTCATAAGAAAAAATGAACAAGTTGCTCTCCCATTGCTCAGAACCAAAAGAGACAGAAGAAATGTCTGTACTGTTAGCAGAACTGGTGCAGTAGCGGAAGCTCTGACCAGGATCCCACACTGTCAAGCGCTACCCAGAGGCAGTGCAAAGAGCCAGCCCCACATCTCACATCCACAGCGCCAGCAGCCATCATGACCATCACCAGTCCATTCTGGTGCTTCCACCCCTGACAGCCCCTCTGAAAACCTATTTTCTGTTTTCTCTGGTGAAGGCTAATGTACTCCCAGCACCAACCGCGGGGTGCAGATGACAACAAAAGAGCTGCCTGCAAGAACTGTGCTAGGTCGCAGAGCAAAGCTGCCTCTGTGCAAGGACAGGTAGAGAGGGTACCTGGGGTCAGCCTTCATTGCATGCTTGCATCCCCTCATTGCTACAGAAACTTAGTCACCAGGGTCAGGGGCAATGCTGATCTTGCTCTGCCTTTGGGCAAACTGGAAGTTACTCCCTTTAAAGTGATGGAGCTATACTACCTCCAGCCATCTACAGCTTTGCTTCTCAGCATATCAGATACAGTCAGTCTCAACTGACCCTGGAAATGTCAATTGGTTGACCATTCCTAATCTCACTGCAGGAAATTTTCCAGTGACATCAAAAACCTCACCAACATTATACTCCTTCTTACAGTATTACAAACATTGCTTCTTATTTAATCTTGACATCTGATTTTATCTCCACATGAGTTTTATAGTTTTTCTTCTGTTTTCAAGCCTCAGTATTCCAAAATGCTTTTAATTCGCTGGAGAAAAAGTACATTTTTATGGTCTAAAAGGTTCTGTGGCTTAACAGGTTCACATAATACACTTAGTTATCTTTCCCTTAACCCTTGTTGTTGTCATAGGTTATTCACAGCTCAGGTACTGTTTCCGAATCCTGACTTCTTCTTTGGCTACAGGCCAAAAAGTCCCTGCATCTTTGGTGAGACTTCCATACACCACTGATGATAAGCTGATGCGCCCCAGGCATTCAGGCCTCTCACACTGCCATCTTTAATGAGTGATATTCAATCCTGCACACTAACATCATCTTCCTCTTTTTCACATATTACTTGAAGAACTGGTGAACATTGCATGTTGTTTTCAGTCTTCTAAGAGGGCATCTGACATAGCCTTCTCTCTGTTTCAGTGTTTTCTCTCTTTTTCCTGACAAATTCAAGTTCTGTTGAGACTATCAGGGGTGTTTTATGTTTTAACGATGTTTTACTTGTTTGAACACCAAAGTGACAAAAATGTAGAGAAATGTTCAATCCTTTAAATAATTTCTATTGCACTGAAAGTGTAACAGAGAAAGGACAAAGCTCTCTACAGCCAGACAGGCATTACAATGCTCTTATTATGATTATTATTAGTTACAAAAGAAAAGCCTTTCTATATTAAAAGCGTAAAATCATTCCTTGTATGCTGAGGAAATGCCAATGTTATATCTCCCATTAAGTCTGGACATTTGAAACATATACATAACAATATCTGGTAAACCATGAATTCTGCCAAATTATTTTCATGCTTCCCATGTGTATTTCACAATCCTATGGCTCAAGTAATTCTAGATTCTGCACAACCAATTGATTATACTCCTATTCCTGCTCAGTACTGCACCACCATTTAGGTGCCCATGGGTAGATCAGGTGCCCAAAGAGGGTGGTGTATCACAAGGAAGCCTCAAAGACCTTCCACCTTAAGCAGACAAAACAAACCACAGAGGATCAACTGGTGGCTCAGGATGTCATCTGAAAGACAGTTTTATTTGTCTCCTGGGAACCTTGCAGTGACAGATGGTCCAAGCGTGACCATGCTGCGGTGAAGCTGCTGGGACTAGCAAGGTTCCAGTACCATGCACATGGGCATGTGCCTGTCTGGCTCCCAACACCAAGCAGGGACTAAAAGCAGCTCATGGCTGTGCTGTTCATCCCTGAAAGGAACAAGGAGTGTATGGCAGATACACCTCCATTCCCACCTTGCAAACAGGAAACAAGGGGTGCAGTGACTTGCTCAAGGTCAGCCAGGAGCTCTCAGAAGAGCTGAGAAGGGCAAAGAGCTCCCCGTCTCACTGCAGTACCATATTCACCCACCATCCTTTCTCTTGTAATTTTACACATCAAATTTCATTTTTTCATTTGAAAAACTCACTACCTCTGTGCCAGACCTTGCATGCATTCACTCAAATGAGTAATCCCTTGAAAGGAATTTCAGTAAGGATTTGATTTAGGGCTGAACCCTTCATTGACTCTTCCATGTTGGTATTTTTTTTCCCCTCCATGCAGAGTAAAAACAAGATAAAATGGGGCTGATCATTACACTTTCTTTAGATGATGCTATACATTCACCAAGCACCCAAAATACTATGCCACCTGGAACTTGGCTATTAAAAACCCCCAAAGAGCAAACCACAGTAGCTGCAGTAAGCCTTGCCTAGGGATTCCAGCATGACCACCATCCCATGCTCTGCACATGTGCCTGTCTGCAAGTATTTCTGAACTGCTCAGCTGTGAATATCACAGACGCGCCCTTCAAAACTCTCAGAGACCTTAGCAGAATACAAAGAGAAAGAAAGCGGACTAGCCTGTGTTCACTTACAACACAAAAAAAGCCCCAAAGGCAATCAATGCCTGAGACACACATGCAGCAATATTATTAGAGTTGCCTAGGAACCAACGCAAGGAGCCTGCCTAGGGAGGGACGCCCGGGTAGTGAATGAATGGAAGAAAGTTGGCACTAATATGACATTGATTTGTCCCTATAAGGAGCTTGTTAGGATAATGCCTTGTATGACACACTTGCAGTCTTTACTAGACATGGGGTTTTTTTTTAATACCATACTTAAAAACTGTTAA